GCTTTGATCTACTGAATGTGTCTCTAAAGTTAAATGATCAGTATGATACAAAGGTGAATTGTGACATAAGTGGTATACAGTTAAAATTTCTCCCCCCCCCCCTTTTTGGGGAATTGTTGCATATTATAAATAGTATTTAACCTTTGACCAAAAGCCAATCTGTGGGCACCAACATATGAAATTTTGTCATCAGGCATACAAGTCTCTCTTTTATAGCCTGAGCTATCTACTGACCCTGTAAAGTGTATACAACCCTTCCCATCTGTGTTTTGTATATATTTTTTCTCTAAAATCACATGCAAACCATGATAAAATGACTCCATTATGATTTTCATATGCATAATCCACCAAAATGATACCCTGTATGCACGTGGTAACCATGGAAACAACATGCTCTTATTATGGCATAGGTCGCATATAGGAGTCACGGTAAAGACTTGACTTAGGATTACTCAATAATGAAAGTAGTACTTGATTCGCTTGGTGCTGAATCAATAACATGGACTTCATGCACATGTAGGTCAAGAAAGTGCCGCGGCTCATATGGTGTTCTCCAAACAGAAGCTTGCATACAGAAATATAGGTCTGATCATCAACACCCACCAATGTTAAGTTAATGAATGTTGAGTATCATGGTGTTTCCATATGTTTACTATGGAGTTGAATTAGTACAGTGACTCCTTAATGTTCCAAACCACTGGTAAAGAAAAACTGATAGATAATAATTACTACTAATGAATAGACACACAGACAGACAGACAGACAGACAAGATAGATAGATAGATAGATAGATAGATAGATAGATAGATAGATAGATAGATAGATAGATAGATAGATAGATAGATAGATAGAACCGTACAATATAAGTGATGTGTTTGAATGCTGCTGGGTTGATTGCCCACAAGCAGCTCACAACGATATTTATTCTTTTAACAAAACCTTTAAAGCTGAACACCCACAAAGATTTATTAATTTACCATCAATACTGTTTTAGCAGTGCATTTGATAAATTTCTGCAAAGAAAATACAACGAAAATAGCAACTCGATTTTTTCCCCACACATATTACCTTAAGTTATTTCAAACTAAATAAAACCAGTTTTTGATTTTTTTTTTAGTGGAGTGGTGGTGCATTACTTACCGTGATTACCGCGCACTCACTAATATAAACAATGTACAATTCTCTCCGTGATGAAACTAACCTTTAGGAGTACTAGCCCCATGGGGAACTCGCCCCTTGGGGAACTCTGTCAAGGTGTTAGAAGTCGCCCCAAAGATCATAGATATTAATTTGGGTATAGCGCCCCATGGTGGTTACCGCTTTATCATATCCCCTGTAAACCACTCTTTGTTATTGTTTGTGTGCGCTTAACTTTTTGATGTTACAGATACACTTCATAGATGTCCAGTGTCCATATACATGTTGCTCTGTCCAGTGTCCATATACATGTTGTTCCGTGGTGCGTATGGTGAGTGAGTAGTACGTGAGTTGCTTGCATTGCACGTGCCTAACATGCAACCGCTGATGATTTTATAGTTTATATAGACGATAAAAGAAATGCCTCGCTTTTCCTTTGTACAGAAATTGAGCTTTAGTTAGGTACACAAATAATTATAACCAAATACAATATTCATAATCTCTTCTTTCCTTGTGCAAGAGTTTTCCAACTAGTGTCTGCATAAAAATCTCCTAAAGTATAAATGGGTGCAGCTTCCAATTGAAGATTTTCGGACAGCTCCGAATCTTCAATATGGCAATTATTCCATAATTGAAAAACATAGTGTAAAACTATGAGTACGAACACTAGTCCCGCGAAGAGATTTTATTCGCGCTCAACATATTTACTTGCTTTCTGAAAGTCGTACCAATATGACCAGTCCATTAAGCATCAGAGGATAATGCCAGTCCAAAGATTTTTTTTTTTAAAGGAAGCGGATTCATGTTGTTATAAGAAAATTCCGGTTAGAAAGAGCCTGTATTTGCTAGTAATTAATAAAATGTCTTTTTTTTTTTTAAAAAAAAGTGTTAAAAGTAACACAAATGTCGTTTGTCCGTAAATAAGTTTTCAAGATGATTATAATTAATCATTTGTACCTGTGAAGAGTCTGTAGAAAAAAAGTATATCAGGATATAGCATCGCAAGCGAGGTCAAATTGAAAGCTAACCCGCTGACATGAAAAAATAATAGACAAGACCCAAACGCAGATCTTTTGGGAACTGTAGCAGTTTCCTGAAATTTGAATGGAACTCTCTGGTAGCAGTTTGATAAGTAGCTCTCGAGCTATGTTATAAGTTAACGGGCACTAAATAGTAAACATTTATTTCATATTAAGTCAAAAATCTATACCGACATCAAGAAAAGTTAAACATGAGGTTTAATTTGAATCAAGATATACATATACTGTTTCAATATGCAAAAGCAACAAATACTTTAATCCTATACTTACCTTTTAATGAAAAATTTATACGAGTGGTATATCATTGATACAGAGTACATACTATACATATTTTTAATGTTAAATACGAATACATATATTTGCTAAAATGTACCAACTTGGATAAACGAGAGGAAACTAATGATTGGGTGAATGAACTCGCATCCCTGCCGAGTGTTTCCTCTACAAAATATAGTTCTATCTTTCTGAGCCTATTCACAATCACCTTTTCATATTAAGTTGATTATTATTTATGAGTTCTATTTTTATTGCAAGGGATTAAATCAATATAAATTTAAACTTATTATTTATACACGAAAGATGGTATTAATGAAAATAGAACACTAGGCTTACATATTCTTGAATACTAAACCCTTCTCAATCCAATGATTTATGTGCGCCCAAAAAATAGATCGGAGTAGAATCTAAGCCCGTAAAAGACAACAAATCTCTCTCTCTCTCTCTCTCTTTCTCTCTCTCTACAAATCTCTCTCTCTCTCTCCTCTTTCTCTCTCTCTCTCTCTCTCTCTCTCTTCTCTCGTTGTAGCTGGCTTGTGGTAGCTACAATAATTAGAAATAAAGTTTTTAAATTGGGAGAAAATCGAAAGGAAAACACAACTTGATGGGAGGGTGCCTCACGTTCGAATTAATAAAGTAAATTTATTAAATGCATATTTCTCAGCGAGTAAGCATTAAAAAAACCTCGAATTTATTGACAACTTTGACAAATACTTAAGCGGATATTCTATGGAGGAATGGATTAGTAATATGGGGTGACTTTAAGTGGGTCAGTAGCAACAGAGAGAATGGGGGTTCTAACTTTTAATGATACATCTTTAGAAAAAACAATGTCATGATTATTTAAAACATACTTTAGAATATTTATATAATATATATATATATATATATATATATATATGGATATAATATATATATAATTTATATATATATATATATAATATATATATATATATATATTATGCTCTGTACAGAGTATACTAAAAAGTATCAAAATGACTTAGCAAAAGGTTAGACTTTTATTTAACAAGGGGATTATACGATGAAGCAAAAATAAGATTTTAAAATTGGACAAATTAAAACTAAATTTAGCAAGGAATGGGGTAATGGAACTTGGAAAATAAATAAGACTTGATGAATATGAAGAATTTATTTTGAAGTTAATATATACAAATAAATATAATATTTTTCAATGAGGGAGAGGAAATACTGCTTCAATGGGACACTTTAAAAAAGAAAATAAAAAATGTTAGTAAACGGTTAGGAGGATTGGGGAAAAGATAAAGATGATGAAATAATTTTGCTACTTAAAAAGGAAAATTACAAAGAAAAGCGAATTACCTGGGAAAAATAAATAATAAAGGATCGTGCGGAAAGGAAAAAAAATATAAATGTGTGAAAATGGAGATAGAGATTAGAGACAGGCTAATTTTCATAACTTTATACAAAAGCAAGGGATCTAATAAAAAGATAATTTAGGACTGTGGGTGGGAAATGCTTTACTACTTTATTTGATGATGGGGGTAATCTATTAAAAAAGGGTAGAATTCTTGACCAAAATTCATGTTTTTACAGTGATCTATATAAAAGTCAAAATATATAATAATAATCTAGTAAACATATATTTAAATGATGTCAAATGTGAACTAATTTCATAAGAACATAAAAACTTATATGATGGCTTCATTTCTGCTGAAGAAAAAAAAAATCAAAAATCCCTAGCCCAATGGAAGGAACCAGGAAAGAGAGGAATCGAGGGGGAATTTTATAGAAAATTTATGACAACGTGAATTATCTCTTTGTTATAACAATATTCTGTTAAAAAATAATAAAACGATAAATCAATGAAAGGGATTATTATCTTTGATTATATATATATATAGGAAGAGAAAAAAAGGGACCTAAAAAATTGGAGGCCCGTCTCTCTCCTAAAATATCCCTATAAAATCTTAAGTAAAATACTAGCGAATAGAGTAAAACAGTGTATGGGTTTAATTATTATTACAAATCAAACATGTGGGGCTAAAGAAAATGGCATTCAAAACAATATCTTAAATTTTGAAACAATAATAGAATTTATGAAAGAAACAAAGATGTGACATGATACTTCTGGATCAAGAGAAAGCTTTTGACCGAATTGAACATAACTATATACAAGGAGTTAATTGAAAATTTGGCTTCGGTGAAAATTTCCGAAAATGAACCGAAATCCTGTACAGAGACGTAATTGCAAGAGTACAGGTAAATGGTGTTATCACGGAAATATTCGAAATACCGAGGTCAGTCAGGCTGCCCTCTATCAATGTCTATTATACGTAATAGCAGTTAAAATAACTAAATATAAAATTATGAGGAAAATGAACTTACAGAAGGAATTAAGATCCCAAATATGAAAGAAAAATTTAAAATACTACCAACATGCTGATGATTTTGTACCAACTTTATATTATAAAGAAAGAATTCTTTTTAACCACAAAATAGAAAAAGAATATGAAAATTTCAGCAAAGCCTCTGGGTCAAAAATTAGCCATGTATTTTTGTAAGATATGATACCGCTGTGGTTTGAACCCACGACCTCCCGCATCCGAGGCGGACGGTCTAACCACTAGGCCACCGGAGCGGTTGCTAGCATACTCTATGATGGTATTGCTTGTCAGGAGAAGACAGATTCATTGATGCACAGAATGGTTGACTACTCTATTTACATCAGGAATAAATAGATTGGATAATAAACCGGAGACCAGTCGTACTACAGATAGAGATATTACATAACAGTTACACAACAATTAGGAAACAGAATTAAAACGTTACAAAAAAAAATGAATAAGAGCTAAGGGATAAAGGGAGATTTCGATTGAAAAATATTTTTATGAACTCAAAAGGGTGATAAATGACCAAGTGAACTGATTCGGTAGGATTGTGCATAACTTCTGATAGTTTTAAAATGTTAAATTTGGAATTTCCACTTTTGAAATTGGGTCACAATATTGTACTGAAACTTGCACTCAAAATTATAAAAAACTTGACTGCAAAATGTTCCGATTGAGAAGTCAGCGAGACAAGGATGATCACTGTAAATGTTATTATTCACAATATCTATCGAAACTTTGTTTTATGCGTTTATTATATTATTATTTATTATTATTATTATTATTATTTATTATTATTATTATTATTATTAATTATTATGTTATTTTTTAAAATTATTATTATTACATTATTTTTATTATTATTAGTATTATTATTATTATTATTATTAATATTATTATTATTATTATTATTACAGGAGAGGAATGATATACGACGCATTACAATACAACAATTTCCCATAATTACATTTATTGCTGCTGTACCAACATTATAAGAAAAACATTTTTCAAATGAAACTTAGAAAATGATTATGATGTTTGAATGGGGCATAGATTTCACGTAAACGATATGAAGACAGAAATTCTACTGACAGGAAAGTTTTATGGCTCCACCAGGGTTTCAGGCACATTTTGTAATAAGACTTTGTTAAAACATTGGGATATACTAAGGAAAAATGCATTAAAAAGAAAATTAATGTATACAATTAAATACAAACTGGAAACGAATTTAATTGAAATTAAGAGTGCATGCAATAACTTCAGTGATGCATAGTAAATTTCTTGCATTTGATTAAGATTATAATTTAAATTGAAGGAAGGCTGGGATGGGCATACATTAAATAAAAAAGAAATTTATGTCTAGGACTCTGATTCGAGTATTAGATTCGTCGAAAGTATATATATATATATATAAAATTATATATAAATATAATATATATATATATATTTTATATATATTTATTTATATATATATATTATTATATATATATATATATTATATATATATATATATATATATATTTACCCCTCCATATAACATATAGTATAGCGAAAAATGAGGGTTTTGGCCCACCCCCCCCCATTTTTTTACCCTCCAAAAAGCCATAAACTCACTCAATTTTTTTTTTTTCCCCCTACTACTACTATGTAGACAGATATTTTGTAACCAAAAAAAACAACAGGTGTTGGAATGCGATAAGCTCTTAGCCCACAGAGGTGACTAATTTGTTAGATCAGCGCATGTGTGGAATACAATTATTCTAAAGACGGCAAACGGGTTTTACCACAAATGTTTTATCAGATAACAGGATGAAAATTAAACTGTGCATTAGAACGTTTCAGTTAACAAGGTGGAAATTAAACTAGCATTAGAATGAAAATGATATTATTTTATATCTCGTTACCAATGATTAATGTTTCAACTGTTGATATTAAAAATATTTCACTATCACGACTATAGATACTAAATTTTACTTTACCGCTCACACAGCGACGGGACTCAAACAAATCTTTCATTTCTGGTTTGTTCAGAGGATATTTTTTGTTGATAAAATATACCTTTGACCGATCGAGATCAATTGTGAGTTTAGTATAGTTTTGTTGGCTAATGGGGCTGTGAAAGTTTTTAAATTCCGCTAGCAACTTTTGATACAATTGTTCGAGATAATTGAAATACTCGCTGTTATCAGATCTGATGAGCGAAAGTTTTAACTTGTCATGTGTTCCATTAAAACATATACCTGATGTTTCATTATTAAATTCAACTGTCAATTGTTTACCGTCCATCATTATATATTTGATGTTACTATTGTAGCTATTTGTCATTGTCAAATTTTCAAACATTATTTTATAAGTTTAGATAAAATTTCAGTTGGAAAAGATAATGTCGAGTATAGATCTATCATCATGACAATACCCAAGGGCAAATGTATCTACCCCATTTTCACAATAGCGTTTGTCATCAAAAATTTATACAATCCACGTTTGATAATGACATCTGTTTCGAGTTTATGATGATTAGTTCGAATTGCCATAGCTCTCATAAAACTAACACCACCATCAAGCGCATACCTGTAGTCATCAAATTTCATAAACTTTTTAACAAAATTACGAGGCAGACCTTTTGCTTTTTTCGTTATTTTATTATTGTCTAACAATACGGCATACATTTTACTGCGTAATCCGATAAAGTATTTGATAGCGCTCGAGTTCATTTCATCTTTAAACTTACCAATAACCTTTTTATTTGTGTCGTCATGAAATTTACTGTCACGTGGATAATCGGAAAGATCAAACAGATGTCGATTATTGTACATGTCCTGATAGATGTCCTCACATTCGATTTCATATACGAGCGAATCAGTATCAGTAAACAATAATCTACTAGCCGGCCACTGATTTTTAACAAAATTATAATGAAAATCGTACATCAGCCACTTTGATAAATCTAACACTGCAGCTCCAACATAGATCGGCTTGTTTAGTTTTAGATTTGTTTTTCTTCTTTGTATCGCAACAAGATTTTCATTAAATATTTTCATGCTCACAAAATCATCGTCTGACACAAGTTTGTTTCTGCGATTGACATCATTAACTATTTCAATATTTACACGTTTCCTAATATTCTCCATCGTCTTACCAAAAACGGAATTGTTCATCAGTTTAAAAAAGTTTTTCTCAAACTCTGTTTTCGCTGCAGCTCTTCTTGAAGTGTTTGAGTTAATATAACCTCTCATCCACGGCGACTGATTAAATTTTAGTACACGATGAACTTTTCTCAACACAAGACCAGCATCGACTGCTTGTTTTAAAACTTTGTAATGCAAAACGTAATTTTTCTTATCAAGTAAATTTGGTACTAGTTTCTTGACCATGGAATGTTGCCTTGGTGATGCTAACGCTTGTTGTTTTTTTGATAACAAACTATAATCTATGACCATCGATTCCGCACAGAAAGGGTAATCGTTATGTAATTTGTGTAGCGAATTTGGATAATCAAGATCAACTTCAACGAAATAGGAAACATCGTCGGGTATCTTTTTTTCTGTCTCTGATAGAAATCGATCAGCCGTGATCCAATGAAATCCACCAAGAGGCATTGGTTCTGCCATCGAACCACCGTAAAGATTATTACAATCTAGATAAATTATATACTTCGAAGGAAGGTCAGGGTTATACTGTTTCAAATATATGTTGTTTGCTTCGGCATATTTTTTTGTTATCACACTAATACCGCCTCTGATACCTTTTTCAATAAAATTGAACATATCGACGTCTGTCAGTAATTCCAACCTTACCTTACTAAACTTTAGCAGAGCATCCCATGACAACCCAGGGGCAGAATAATACCAGCAAGGATCTAGTCCATAATTATTATAACTCACTTCACGAAAACTTTCAAAAACATCTGCTAATAATAACACGTCAGTTTTCAAATACAAATCATGATAATCACCAAAAGTCTCACAATCAAACTCTTTCCAGATATCTTGTGCATACCTGTACTCGTCATCGGTTATATTTTCATTTTTAAGTTGTGAGTAAAATTTGTCTTTGCCAGGTAAAGATGTTTCATCAAATTTACTCCAGTCGTCGAGGTATTCGTATGGAAAAACTCCTTTTTTAGCTAGTAGATTAAATTTATCTCCAAAACAGTCTCTTAGGTTATCAAATTTACTACAACCTTTCACTAACTCATCTAACGAGGCTGCCATAAACTGCAGGCTGTCAATAAAACGCAATTTACCTAGCGTAACTGACATGTACTTTTCAAAATTATTTGGGATGCATTTGATGACGTTATCGAGTTTTAGACGAGATTTTATATCAGGATCACCAAAAGCTTCTACTATAATATGCTATCATATCCTCGAAAATTGTGAAGAATAACCGGAATAAAATCTGGAGCATGAAATTTTAAATTACACTGATTATGAGCCGCTCCACGATACTGTCCAGTCAAATGACAATGGTCATGTACTTTTTTGTCATCGTCAAAAGCTTTTTCACAAATATGACAAATTTCTGCTTGCTCGTGATCGGATTCTTGTTGAGGTGTTAATTTTAACATTGGCGTTACTTTTTTCAAACGATAAGTAATATTATCAACTTCATTAATCAACTGCTTGAGAAGCCAAACAGCTGGATTTTTACCACGATATAATTTGATTGGTTTAGATAATCTAGAATCAGTACAACAAACTACCTTGTACGCTACTCCACACGGAACATGATTTTGAACTTTTCTTGTACTCGATTGATTAGGATTATTTTCTACGCCAAGTACAGGTTGAAGTAAACACTCAAAATCAGCGTATATAACGAAAGGAATTTTTAGTTTGTGATTATGATGGACAAACTGTAACACACTATCTTTTTTAGATGGCATTGTTATTCTTTGCACATCATTACAGTACTGCAAATGCTTTTGTAATGTTTCATTGTTAGTACAACCATGCAAGCAGCGGTAACAAAAGAACTTTTTGTTCCTATTTTTATTGTACTGTTTACCAACTAGTCCGTTAAAGTTTTTAATCCAAACGTAATGATTTTTGTAAACAGTAAATTTATAGTCGATTGTGAAGCTTTTTCTGAAATATATCTCGGGTATACATCCTCTTTTTCATCTAGTCCGAAAACGTTAATTGAAACATTATTTTGCTTTTCAAATTTTGGTATTTGATTTTCTGCCACAGGAAAGTTAATATCTTTAAAATTTAATCTAGACACGTGACTGATATACTTCTCAACT